GTCGGACGGGAAGGCGGATGATGATCCGGAGGAGGATCAGCCGGTGAGTGAGTGGAGCGAGCGAGTCGGGAAGAGAGAATGAGAGAGGGCCGTGCGCGCACGCGTGTCGTGACGTGTGTGCGGTGTTGCGTGTCGTGTCAGAACCGGTCCTGGGCCTCACCTAGGTCGACTCAGCCTCAAATGAGTACCTGGTGCGGTGTGTGAACATCGCCACTGGGGATACAAAGGCGCCCGGGCGTGGTGCTGGCCACCCACCCCCTCGTGTACCGTGCCGGCCTTCATAGGTGCTCGCTAACAGCACCCTACAGTCTGTTAAGGCTATACGGGGGATCTTAGTCTCTTGTAGAGTTGTTGTCATGTTTGTGCAGAGGATACAATGGGAGTGGTGGCGCAGTGCTTAGCGCACTCTACCAGTTCAGATGACGTCTGCGGGCCAGGAATCCCAACTCGGGTGAGTGGATTCGTACAGCGCAGTTGCGCCAACCGCTGCGCCACCGCTCTCCCTTGGAAGGTCGTGTAGGAAGGTCGTGTTTGGAAGGAAGGCCGGGCTCCTACAGGGGCGAGTGTGAGAGGAGAGAGAGGGGGCACGCATATGGCATTGACGTGAGCGTGCGCGCGTGTTGCGCTCGATGCCAACCAATGTCTGCTGCTGGACACGACGAAAGGGCTTCAGCAGAGAGAGAAGAGAACGTTTGTGTCGTGTCGCTGTTTCCACCTCCTCTGTTGAAGGAGCGCAGCGGGTTAACTCTGCGGTCCGTAGCTTGGGTCGCGTGGCTACCTCAACGCTGTGGCTTCTCTTGAAGACATCTCCGTGTGTATTTATCTCGACGAGTCTCTGTGCATCTCTGTATACGAGACTCTGCCTGCCACCGTGTGTCTCTGTGGGTTAACTCTGCGGTCCGTAGCTTGGGTCGCGTGGCTACCTCAACGCTGTGGCTTCTCTTGAAGACATCTCCGCGTGTATTTATCTCGACGAGTCTCTGTGCATCTCTGTATACGAGACTCTGCCTGCCACCGTGTGTCTCTGTGGGTTCACTCTGCGGTCCGTAGCTTGGGTCGCGTGGCCACGGTGGGACTATTTGCGGCTTGTATCGTTAATTTAGCAACCTACGTGGCCAACCGTGTTCATCGGCGGTGCGGACCGCGACGACATTAAACGGAACCACGGCTTAAGTCGGCTTAACACGTGGCAGGCTTTCGCGACCCAATATCATCCACAATACAGGTTTTTTTGGGGGGGGTTAGATTGCGTAAATATATGCTGCGTATTTGGAGTTTATGTGGTCGCGTGGATTTATCTCCGCGTCCTCTGTTTTTTTCCCTCCACATTTAGGAGCACGCCTTTAGCGGATTTGCCTCGCCGCTACATTTGCACGTGATGGAGAGGCGAGACTGCGTCGAGCTATCAGTTGTGGCCAGGTCGTTTCTGTCAAAGAGGCTTACCTGGTAAAACAAATAAAAATGTTAAATGAAATCAAATAATATTCATGGTTCTTTCGGTAAAGTCACGTAGAAGGGAAAAAATAAAATAATATAAATATAAAACAATAAAAATTCTCACGACGTTTCGACTGCAACACAAGCAATCATCATTAGGTGATGATTTCCCTTCTACGTGACTTTATCGAAAGAACCAAGAATATGAATCCTGCAGTCACGAAAGGTTTAAATCGAAATCAAATAAATGAAAAAGCAATGAATTAACTTGCATCTTTATTACAATTAATGATGGAAGAATGGCGGCTGCTACGCTATTCCAATGCAACGGGGCCTGACGCTCCACGCGGGGTGAGAGGCTTCGTGATTCCTCCTCCGGAGCGGTGGTCCTGGGCCTCCCCTAGGTCGACTCAGCCTTAAATGGGTACCTGTTGGGGCTGTGTTTAACCTCGGTCTCGGAGACACAAAGGTGGCCGGCCGGACGTGGCGCTGGCCACCCCTCGTGTGCCGTGTCGGCCTTCATAGGTGCTACTCGCCAACAGCACTTGCACCCGACTGTCTGATAAAGGCTACACGGGGGGGGGGGGGATCTTTATCCGGTTGTGTTTGCCGGCAAACAGCGCTTGGTACAGAAAAGTTTCAAACTTGACCTCACTTCGCGTTTAGCTGCCCACCACCAGGTATGGAATTAACCCAGCAGCTGTCCGCCCGCCCGTCCGTGTCTGCGTGTGCCCGTCCGTGTGTGTGCGTGTGTGTGCATGTGTTTGTGTGCGTGTGTGTGCGTGCGTGTGCGTGTGTGTGTGTGCGTGTGCGTGTGCGCGTGTGCGCGTGTGTGCGTGTGAGTGTGTGTGGGTGTGTGTGCGTGTGCGTGTGCGTGCGTGTGCGCGTGTGTGCGTGTGCGAGTGTGCGCGTGCGTGCGCGTGCGTGTGTGTGCGTGTGCGTGCGTGTGTGCGTGTGCGCGTGTGTGTGCACGTGTGTGCGTGCGTGTGCGTGTGTGCGCGTGTGCGCGTGTGTGTGGCGCGTGTGCGTGTGTGCGCGTGTGCGCGTCCCGCCTCCCCGCAGTGTGGAGTGGGGAAGCGGTGCACTGTGGAGCGGCCTCTGAGCGAGCTGCACATGCACAGCAGCAGAGACAAGTCCGGTGAGCGCCGAGCGCGGGGCGTTGACGTGGGCTGAGCTGAGCGTCTGTGTGCCCTGCGGTTTTCGATTTAAAGCTTCTTTCGTGACTGCAGGGACTCATCTTCTTGGTTCTCTCGGTAAAGTCACGTAGAAGGGAAATACTAAAATAATAAAAATAAAACATAATAAAACAATTCTCACGACGTTTCGGCCACAATGCAAGCAGCCGTCCTCAGGTGAAGAAACAGACTCTGTCTTCTCGACAGACCTGGTCTTCACCTGAGGACGGATACTTGCGTTGTGGCCGAAACGTCGTGAGAATTATTTGATTATGTTTTATTTTTATTATTTTATTACTTCCTTCTACGTGACTTTACCGAAAGAACCAAGAAGATGTGTGCCCTTCGTTGCTGTTTTGCGCTCTCAGTCGCCATGACGCCTCCCGTATGTTCGGCAGCCCCAAAGATTTTTCCTCACTGGCCCAGTTTGGTGTTTTTTGGATCCAGCTCACGATGGGCCAACTAGATTGCGCGTCGCCACATCACAACGGCGAGCTACGAGTGCCGCACAGTTTGTCACACAGACTATTGAACTCAACTTAAATGCCATTGGGACCTCATTTGCCAGTAGAAAAATATGATAATTGTTTTTTTACCCTTTTATGTGGCAACAAAACTTGTCAGATAAAAGGTACAGTGCATACATTATCAGAGTTATGTTTTTGTTTGCATTACGACTGCAGGTATTGTTGTCTATGCAACATGACTCCTTGTGAAAAAGGTGTCAGTTTTGTTGCCAGATAAAAGGGTAAAAAAAATATTATCATAAACTTAAATAACTGCCCGTATCCCGAATTTGGCCCGGTGTGTTTACGAATGGCCGGGCCGATGTTAGTCCCAGTCCACCATCACTGAAGACGCTGAATGTTTATTTGTTTATTGACGTAATCACCGTCGCCTTCTCAAGCCCTGGGGCTCTCGACCACCGAAAGCCGGGCCACGTAGGCCTCAGTTGTCGTGTGAGTTCTTCGATCCTTCGGACCGGAGACCACTTGAAGTGGTCTCAGAAGTGGCTCGTGATCATCTCGCCGCCACCACCACCGCACAGACAACCGGCGCGGCTCCACCTCGTCCGCGTTCCGCATCTCATCTTCCTTCCTCTCGTTCCGCAGACGACCTCGGCGGCGGCTCAGACGCGCGGACGTCCCCGGTCGGGCTCGCCGACCCCGTGACCTCCGCCCCGGGTCGTGACCCCGACCCGCATTTCCACTGCGACCTGCGCTCGCGGGACAGCTCCGAGGTGTACCGCTACCCGAGCCCGCTGCACGCCGTCGCCATGCAGAGCTCCGCATTCCTGCACCGGCGAGGCGCCGGCGACGACCGCGACGCCGCCGCGTCGCCCGACGGAAAACCTCCTCCGATGAGCGATGGCGCCCGCCGCCACCGTCGCCACGACGACGCCGGCGCGGACGACGAGGTGACCGCGACCGTAGCGGCGCCACTCGGCGCCGACAAGGCGACCGCCTACATCGCGCTGCTGCAGAGGCGCGAGAGGAAGGCGGAGGCTGCCCGCGCCAACCTGAGCGTGCGGTATGAACCAGCAGTGCCCGTCCCGGCGGCCACGGCGTACGGTGTCGGCGGCGGGGCGGGCGGCGCGGTGGGCTCGGCGGTGGGCGGCGGCGGCGGTGCGCTGCCCGCGCTGGTGCGGCCCGCGTCCATCGCTCACTATGACACCTCGCGCCGCCACCACGACGACGATGACGACGACGGCCATGACGGCGGTGACGATGCCGAGCGGCGGTGGAGAGCGTCTGGCCCCCACGTCCATCCTGGCGCCGGCGATCGTCGCGGGAAATCGCCAAACCTGCAGCAGCAGCAGCAGCAGTCCACCAACGGGGAGCACGAGTTCCGGCGCCGCGCCCTGACCTCCGTCTCCACGGACCTGCGCCCGCAGCGCGGCGCCGGCCGGTGGAGCGCGGCGGCCGAGCCAACGGCCGGCGCCCTGGGCTGGCGGCCGGGCGAGCTGGGCGGGCCCCGGTACCAGCAGCGGGAGGCGCGCATCTGCAAGCTCGGCCACGGCAGCTGGGCCGGCTCCCTGCACAAGTCGGCGGACCTGCGGGGCGGCCACGGTGACGACGGCGACAGCGCCTCCTCCGACCACCGACGGCACCCGAGGAACGCAGCTCGGTCGTCGTCGCCCAAGGGGCACCGGCTGCGCGAGGGCGTGGAGCTCGTGCGGCAGCGCTTCCGCTTGCCGGGGCGGCGCCGGGGCGCCGGCGGGGAAGGCGCCAGCTCCGAGCCGGACGTGTCGGGCGGTGGACGCCAACTAACGGAACGGGAGGAGGTTGCGGGCGGCTCGTCGGTGTTCGATTGCCGCCGGCGATTGGTGCCGCATCCGTCCGAGATCCGCGGCATCGGCGCCGGTGCCGCGGGGACCGGAGCCGATGGATATCGGCGGTGGTGGCTGGTGGAGGTGCCGGTCGGTTCGTGTTGGTAAACGGTGAATTCCCAGGTCCTGTTCGGACACCACTCGCCACTGACGCTGTCCGTGACCAGGGATCTGACTCGGGTCAGATCCCTGGTCACAGTGCGCTGACTGCTGTGTGGGGGGGGGGTTCACAAAGCCATCGATATCTCACGCACGTGATCCCGCGTGTGTTTCATGAGCCTTCACAATCGACGTTGAGCCATTGGTCCGTATCGTTTTTAACTGTTACAGCTCCTCCGGGAAAGTTCGATCATCAAAATAATAATCATCACCAGGTGTGGTGAAAACCACACCTGATGATGGATTCGTTTTAGCGGCGAGCCCAATCGTGTTTTGATTTTGTTGTTGTTGTTGTAACTTTCTGACGTGCCCCAGAGAGCTACCAAGAGAGAGCTTGACAGCTCGTAGAATCCCGCCAGTGTTTATAAATATTACAATTCTGATAGCCAAGCACAATCCACCTTCAATCGGCAGCTCGATGTGCACCTGTTGAGGCTCTCACCTGTCCGGGCTGTTGACGTACGAGAGACAGAGGTCGCAAACGGGTTTTGATTCCTTACCCGTACCCGTACCCGGCCGCACCAGGGTCGCAAATGGATACCCGCACCCGTACCACCGCTCCTCTCCACGATGGAGACCGCTCTACACAGAAACCTGTTTCAAGTGTTCAGGCGTCATTGACGCTCGCCCGGTGGAGCGGTGGCGCCGCGGTTTCAGCGCATTTGCGTTCTGGACCCGGAGAGCCGAGTTCGATTTCCCGAACAGACACTGGAACATGAGCGGGACAGAGGCGTGACATCTTGCACGCGCTGCGCCTCGCCCACCCGCGGGCAACTGGCAATAGCCAGAGGGGCCTCCGCTGCGTGGGCATGGAGAAGGAATGGAACGTGAACACGGCGCAGTTGTGGTCTGGGCCGAGCACGAGACTTCGAAGCGATTTGGCAACAGCGCTCGCGTCGAGCCCAGGGTCTCTCGTGCTGGACGAGAGTTGTCGGCTTCGATGCTCGTGTGCGGAGACACCGAGGCGAGGGGTGTAAGTAGCCGACATTTGGTAAACATGGCACGGGAACAAATGGCACACGTGGACACCGGGACACAAACATTTCACGATGAAACAGGACTCTACTAACAGTTAAAAGTGGTGTGCTAACAGTTATAAGTACTGTACTGACGGTTGTATACAGATATGAATGAAAGAGTTGATTCATCCCAAACCCCGAACCTGTTTCATTGTGCCTTCTTTCTCTCCAGAATTGATCACTCGTGCCATTTTTTCTTCCTTTACCAGTTTTACCTGTGACATTTTTATCTGTTTTACCTGTGCCTAGGTGCCTTCTTCCAATAAATGTTTTTGGAAAAAACCGTGAAACTCAATCAATGGCTGTCTATCTCTCACTCTTCGTGTATCTCTCTCCGTGTCTCTCTCTCCGTGTCTCTCTCTCCGTGTTTCTCTCTCTCCGTGTCTCTCTCTCTCTCCGTGTCTCTCTCTCAGTCTCTCTCTCTCCGTGTCTCTCTCTCTCCGTGTCTCTCTCTCCGTGTCTCTCTCTCCGTGTCTCTCTCTCCGTGTCTCTCTCTCAGTGTCTCTCTCTCCGTGTCTCTCTCTCTCCGTGTCTCTCTCTCCGTGTCTCTCTCTCCGTGTCTCTCTCTCTCTCTCTGATCCGGCCGTACATATACTAAAATTGGAACGATACAGAGAAGATTAGCATGGCCCCTGCGCAAGGATGACACCCAAATTCGTGAAGCGTTCTCTCCGTGTCTCTCTCTCTCTCTCTCCACCTGTTTGGGTGCGGCCGCACGAACCTGTTGCTCCCGCTCCAACGTTGGTGTGGATGGAGGCCTGGGCTCACGTGATAGCCTGAGCCTAGGCTGAGAGAGTGCCCACGCGTTTATAGACGCTTTACCCCGCTTTTTTTTTCGTTTATTGAGTCGTCGTGTTCAACATCCTTCTCTTCCTTCACTGTGAGTTCTCCGTTTCTTTCACGTGGTGCTGGTTTTATTTGTTTTGTGTGTTTTTCTTCCATCCCTACGGCACCACGAGCAGCCTTGGGCCTGCTGTGGCTGCCTCTCTCACCCCCCTCTCTCTCGGTGTGTCTCTCTTTCTGTGTCTCTCTGTTTTTCTGTGTCTCTCTCTCTGTCTCTCTCCTTCTGAGTCCCTCTCGGTGTTTGTCTCTGTGTGTCTCTCTCTCTGTGTCTCTCCCCCCCTCCGTGTATCTCTCTCTGTGTCCCCCCCCCCCCCCCGTGTCTATCTCTGTGTCTCTCTCTGTGTCTCTCTCCCTCTCCGTGTCTCTATCTGTGTGTCCCTCCCCCGTGTCCATCTCTCTGTGTCTCTCTCCCCCCTCCGTGTCTCTCTCTCTGCGCCTCCCCCCCCCCCCGTGTCTGTGTGCTCTCTCTCTGTGTCTCTCTCCCTGGTCTCACTCACTCACTCGCAGCACTCTCTCTTTCTCTCGTGTGGGTTTCCTTTGTTCTTTTTTCTCACTCTTTCTTTCTAGTGAGTTCCTCCTTGGTTTCACGGGTCTTGTGGGTTTAGGTGGGTCTTTATGATTTTTTGTGCATTTATTTATTTATTTTCCCCTCCAATTTATTTGGGGTAGTGCAGCCGCGTTTTGCACGCTAGGGTGCTGTCGCCAAGCATCATGGCACAGTACCCCAAGCTTTAAACCCTCTCGCGAAGGAACGGCGTGATGGTGTTCCCCCCGCCCGAGATCACCGTTGAGGCCGTCGTCGCGGCGGCGGCTGAGGTCATTGGCATGGCGGGCATCCTCGTTAGCGAACGGGAAAATCACGGGGTCGTCCTTTATACGGCGGAGGCCATGGTGGCGCGCCTTGCAGAGACGGAGCTGGACGTGGGGGGGGAGCTGTTTTTACAGTGCACCCCCCTCTCCTCGCCTGCCGTGAAGGTGCTCCTCTCCGGCGCGCCGCCATTCCTGAAATGTGCGGACCTGCAGCGGGACCTCCTCCGCTTAGGCACCGTAGTGTCCCGCGTCATCATGTTGCCATTGCGGACGAGGGACACGAGGATGGCACATGTAATGTCGCTGCGGCGACAGACATTTATGATATTGAAGGACAGGCAATACAGAACTCAACGTGACCCTGAAGTATACCATCGAGGGACACGTTTACACCGTATACGCCTCCACGGCTGTACAGCGTTGCTTCGGCTGCGGCGGCGTCGGCCACACCCGGAGGAGCTGCCCGACCAAGGGCAAGGAGAACGTTGCTCCACCCGTGCCGGCGCACGCTGAGCAGCGGCAGCAGCAGCAGCAACAACAGCAGCAGCAGCAGCAACAACCACAACAACGGCAGCAGCAACAACAACAGCAGCAGCAACAGCAGCAGCAGCAACAACCACAACCACAGCAGCAACAGCAACAGCAGCAGGAACGCGCTGACCCTGCGCCTGGCCGCGCAGAGCCGGCGCCTGAAGGCGACAAAGATGGCTTCGTGCTAGTTAGGTCATGAAAGCGAAAAGCCAAAGCCAGCCGAGCAGAGGGGGGGTGCGACGGCACCTTTCCAAAGCGGGCGGGCACCGCTGGCGGCACCACCGAGCCGGACGGCTGCCCAGAAGGGGCGGCAGGGAGCGGCAGTGAGGGCACGGCGGAGAACACGGTGAGCACAGCCGCCGCCGCCGCCGGCGGCCAAAACCACCCGCCGGATGCGACCGAGGCAGAGGGACGACCACCGGACCCAGCCGCGGCCGCACCGGCACGAGCAGAGGAGCGACTGCGGGCCACTGTCGCGCCTGAGGGCGCAGCGCCACCCGAGGGGACCGCCCCATCGCTCGGCGGGGCGACGACCACGGATCCCGCGGACGAGGCACGCCCCGAGCAGGGTGAGACCCCGGCTCCTTGCAGCGCAATGGAAGAGATGGCGGTCACACCCGAGGGGGACGACGACGTTCTACCCGCCTCGACGTGCGACGGGGAGGGGGCCGCGGAGGCCACAGAAGGAGAGCACCCCGAGCCTGGCGAGACCCCGGTTCCGCCCGGGTCGTCGGAGGAAGTGACGGCCGGAGTACGCGCCGACACACACGGGGACTCTGACGACGAAGAGCAGTCGGGGTCCGACGTCGACGACGAAGGAGCCAGTGAAATGTTTTTTTCGGGAGTAGGAGGGGAGCAGGAGTACGTACCCGAAACCGTCCAAAGCTTCCTCCAATCGTCCTTCAGGAAGCGTCGAGTCAGCGTCCAAGCGAGCTTCCCCGATGTGATGGGCTTCCTGAACACCGCACAAAATATACAACGGGACCCCAATAAATGCGGCTTCAGCCAGCAGAAATGCTACCGGTTGCAGAAGTTTGTACAAAAACTGAGGAAGGGGTGCACCCCCCTTCCGCAGTGACCACCGGTGGCACCCACCCCCCCCCCCTATTGCAATGGCGTCAGGCGTCCGCGTGGCGAGTCTGAATTGCAATAGTGCTCGAAGCGATGAGAAATGGAGACGCATGTGTCGTTTTCTTGTCGACCAAAACGTCGAAGTGGCGCTCCTACAGGAGACACACCTCGATGCCACGCTGCAGGCTCAACGACAACACCTCATGGGCGGCCGGTTCTTCTTTAGCCACGGGGAGGCCAACCGGGGGGGGTCGCGATTGTGTGCGGCAAAAAATTCACTCCTGACCATGTGACCTTTAGGGAGATCGTGAAGGGACACCTGATTACGGCCGAGTTTGTGCTCGGCGACGTCAGGCTGCGGGTAGTCAACGTGTACGCACCGAGCGCGAGCCGCGAGAGGGGGCTCTTCTTCTCGGGCGCACTGAGGGACACCCTGGACGAAGCCGACTCGGACGAGGTGCTCACGATCGTCGGGGGTGATTTTAATTGCACCCTCGACCCGACTCTCGACCGTAATGGCGCCGAGCCTCACCCGGAGACTGCGCAGGCATTGGCTGACATAGTACGGAGGCTAAACCTACTCGACACGTGGCACCTGCAACATCCGGCCCAGCGGCAATATACGTGGTGCCGGTGTGGTGCACAAGGGCGGATTAGCCTCGCACGGCTGGACTGACTCTACGTGAATGCCGACGGTGCTAACCTGCTCGGCGAAAGCAGGGTGGTCCCGTCCGGTTTTTCCGACCACCACCTGGTGTCGGTGCGCTTGCGTCTCCCCCTTCTTGGGCACCGCAGACCCTACTGGCGTTTTAACCTGCAACTCTTAGAGAATGCGGACTTCCAGAGAGCTTTCAGGGCCTTCTGGAAGGGGTGGCTAACACAAAAGGGCAACTTTGACACGCTCCAGCAATGGTGGGATAATGGGAAGGTACAGATAGGGTCACTATGCCAGCGGTTTATGAGCCAGCACGCAGCAGCTAGGCGGGAATGGGAAGAGCGGTTACGGGATGAGTTGCTGGCGCTGGAAGCAGAGCTGGGCTCACCCCAAACTAATGCGGATTACCGCACGCTCTTGGAGCAGCAACGGCTGGTGAGGTCTGTGTCAGACCGCGAAGCCTATAAGGCCTTTGCGAATCAGAGAATGCAACATCTGCTAAAGATGGATGCGCCTACCAAATCATTTTTCAGGCAACAGAGGCAGCCAGTCACCAAAAACCTTATTTCCAGCCTGCAGGCACCGAGTGGTGAAGTCCACACGAGCGACGAGGGCATCGCTAGGGTCGTTAGGGCTTTTTACCAGGATCTGTTTACTGCAGAAAGCATCCAGGGGGATGCTCTTGGGGAATTGTTAGAGGGTGTGCCTAGACTGACCCCTCCCGAGATGGAACAGCTGGAAGGGCTGATCACCCTCCAGGAACTGGAGGCTGCGGTGAGTGGCCTAGCTACTGGGAAGGTGCCTGGGATCGATGGCCTCCCAGCCGAGTTCTTCAAAGCTTTTTGGGGTGAGCTCGGCCCTTCCCTGGTCGAGGTGCTGAATGCGAGTCTAGCAAAAGGGGAGTTGCCGCAGAGTTGCAGGAGAGCAGTGGTTACCCTGTTGCCCAAGAAGGGGGACTTGCGCCTCGCAGCGAACTGGCGGCCGGTGTCCGTGTTATGCACGGACTATAAGATCGTCGCAAAGGCGTTGGTTAACCGGTTGAAGGGCGCGGCGGGGAGGATCATCCAGCCGGAACAGACATGCTGTATCCCGGGGCGGTCTATCCATGATAACATCGGGGTGGTCAGAGACGTGATCGACCTGGCAGACACCCATGGACTGGACACCGGCCTCCTTTTTCTCTATCAAGAGAAGGCTTTTGACCGAGTCAGCCACGACTACATGTATGCGGTGCTAAGGTCTTTTGGGTTTGGCCAGGGATTTATTGCGTACGTGAGGCTCCTCTACACAAATGTGTCCAGCCTCCTCAAGCTGAATAATCGGCTCCGTGCCCCCCTGGTCGTTACGAGGGGTGTTAGGCAGGGATGCCCACTCTCGGGGCTGCTCTATGCGCTCTGCATCGAGCCGCTATTATTAACGCTGAACCGGACCCTGTCGGGCTTCCTTATCCCTGGGACGGAAAATGCTGCGGTAAAGGTCTCGGCGTACGCGGACGACGTGTGCGCGGTGGTCAACGACGCGAGAGACGTGGCGGCGGTGCACAGGGCGGTCGGCCTCTACGAGAGCGCCTCCTCCGCAAAGGTGAACTGGCCAAAGTGCGAGGCGCTGTGTCTGGGGCCGCGGGGGACGATGCGCGCCGTGACGCTCCCAGGGGGGGTGGAGTGGGGCACGGAGGGCACCAATTACCTGGGGGTGTACCTGGGTAACCCGGCCACTGTGGCCAGGAATTGGGAGGATGTGGCGGAGAAGATTGGAGGGAGGTTGCAGGCGTGGGCCCGTTTCGCTCCGCAAATGTCGTACAGGGGACGGGTCCTCGTCGTTAATAACCTGGCGGCGGCCATGCTGTGGCATAAGGCCAGAGTCCTCCACCCCCCAGACTGGCTGTTGACGAAAGTACAGAGGGCTTTCACCGCCTTCGTCTGGCACGGAAGGCACTGGCAGAGGCCGGGGGTCCTCTGTTTGCCAGTGGAGGAGGGAGGCCAGGGCCTAGTGAGCGTCGCCAGCAGGGTGATGGCGTTCAGGGTCCTGGACATAAGGCGCCTGCTGTATGAGCCGGAGGAGCAGCCCTGGAAGGCCCTGGCCCTCGGCTTGCTGAGACAGGCCGGAAGGCTTGGGTACGGCCGCGAGCTCTTCCTGACGGACCTGGGGCTGGTAGACCAGTCGCCGCTGCCGAGGTATTATCGCAGCCTGCTAGATGCTTGGCGTAGTCTTGAATGGGAGAGGGCGCCCGCGGACTATGATGCGAGCCTTTTTCTGCGGGAGCCGCTACTCGCTAACGACCTCTTCCAGGGCCTGAAGGGGGAACGCACCCTGGCCGCGCGGTTTGTTGCCGGAGGGGTGAGCAGGGTCAGCGACCTGGTGGACCCTAGCCGGCGAAGGTGGAGAACGGCTCTGGAACTCTCAGAAGTGGCCGGGCTGCGCTCCATGCTCGCCGGGACCAAACTGTTGCGGGAAGTCCTGCGGGCGATGAAGAGACTCGGAGTGGGGCTGGGAGAGTCGGGCGACAGGGAGGGACCCTCCTTCCCCCAGCTGACCTTCTCCTGTGCCGTCCCCTCTGATCGCGAGGAGGAAAATTATTAAAGATGGAGAACAGCAGGAGTGTCTCGCTGGCGGAAGTCCACAAGAAAAAGCTCTACACCGCCTGCGTAAAGGCGCTGCACTTCCGGGACTTGGAGGAGCTGCCAGACACGAAGTGGAGGGGATATTTCTCTGCCCTGACGGACGCTGGCCCCCAGTGGCGTGATATGTACCGGCCCCCCACTGCCAAAAGATGTGGCGACCTCCAATGGAGAGTAGCGCACTGGACTGTGCCGTCGGCGGTGTGGGTCAGCCGGGCCGTGCCGGGAGCTCCGGACACGTGCGCATTTTGCGGACTGAGGGAGGACCTGGCCCACCAGTTCCTCAAATGCAAGAGGCTCGCCCCGCTGTTCAGTTTCCTGGCGGGGGTGTTCGGGAGACTGGGCACCCCGTTTTGCGAGAGCGGCTTTGTGTACGGAGTGACCGGGACGGGGGGCGACAAGCGGCACGTCGCGAACTTTGTGTGCGCCCAGGCCAAACTGGCGATCTATACGACCCGGAAGCGGAGGCTGGAAGGCGGCAGCGGTAGCTGTGGAGTGCTGGCGATGGTGCAGGCCCTCATAAAGGCGCGGCTCGAGTTAGAGTTCGCCTATTACGGTCATGCCGAGGGGGAGAGTGACTTTTTGAAGAAATGGGGGTGCGCCAAAGACGCTCTGTGTACAGTTGTGCAGAATGCACTGATCTACACGTTTTGACCCCCCCCTCACCCCCCCCCCCCCCCCCGTTTCTTGTCCAGTCGTGCGGGACTGACGCCGCTGTTCGCTTTGTGGTGATTGTCACTGAGACTGAACGCATTTAATTTGTCACTGGTTGCAGAAATGGTTGCTTCCGAGTGGCTTACAAGGCACAGCAATATTCCAGCGCAATTTGCGCTGGGGAAATAAAGTTTTCAAAAGTCAAAGTCTCTCTCTGTCTCGCTCTCTGTCTCTCTCTGTCTCTCTCTCCTCGTCTTCACTGTCGCTGCCCGTCGGAGCTCGGCGTCTGCGGCTCCTCTCCTAGGTGGGCGTCCCCGGCCCGAACGCTCGCAGGAAGCCCTCCTGTGTGGCAGCAGAGAAACAGAATGGAAAGAGAGCCCCACCATCATCATCACCGAGGTGTAAATGCTCTGCTGATATGCGTGGCATTGTCCTTGTGCTGGTCGCCTTTTGGCGTTGTTCTCTGATCTGATACTGGTGGTGAGTCACTGGGTAGAGAGACACTGGGTGGTGAGTCACTGATACAGAGACACTGGGTAGTGAGACACTGGGTAGTGAGACACTGGGTAGTGAGACACTGGTACAGAGACACTGGGTAGTGAGACACTGGGTAGAGCGACACCGGGTAGTGAGACACTGGTGGTGAGTCACTGGTACAGAGACACTGGGTAGTGAGACACTGGGTAGTGAGACACTGGTGGTGAGTCACTGGTACAGAGACACTGGGTAGTGAGACACTGCTAGTGAGACACTGGGTAGTGAGACACCGGGTAGTGAGACACTGGTGGTGAGTCACTGGTACAGAGACACTGGGTAGAGAGACACTGGGTAGAGAGACACTGGGTAGTGAGACACTGGTACAGAGACACTGGGTAGTGAGACACTGAGACACCGGGTAGTGAGACACTGGGTAGTGAGACACTGCTAGTGAGACACTGGGTAGTGAGACACCGGGTAGTGAGACACTGGTGGTGAGTCACTGGTACAGAGACACTGGGCAGAGAGACACTGGGTAGTGAGACACTGGTACAGAGACACTGGGTAGTGAGACACTGAGACACCGGGTAGTGACACACTGGGTAGTGAGACACTGGGTAGTGAGACACCGGGTAATGAGACACTGGTGGTGAGTCACTGGTACAGAGACACTGGGTAGTGAGACACTGGGTAGTGAGACACCGGGTAGTGAGTCACTGGTACAGAGACACTGGGTAGTGAGACAATGGGTAGTGAGACACTGGGTGGTCAGACACTGGGTAGTGAGACACTGGGTGGTGAGACAATGGGTAGTGAGACACTGCTAGTGAGACACTGGGTAGTGAGACACTGGGTGGTGAGACACTGCTAGTGAGACACTGGGTGGTGAGACACTGGTGGCGATTGGAGGACATGGGTCAGATCAACTCAATAACAACCGGTAGGAGGCTGCTAGATTTTGTGCAGACCATGGGCTTGTAATTACCAACACGCTGTTCCAGCGAAATTGTGGTGTTGATGGTGGCGGTGTGTAACCCCTCACCCAGCCTCCCTGTTCCATGAGCCAGGTCTTGCATGTGGTCAACAGCACAGCGGCCACCGCGTCCGTCAAGGGCCAAGTCTCCTCCGAGTCGCCCAGACGACCGGAGGCCCTCAGGTTCTTGACGAGCAGCGCGCAAAACACCACCATGGACAGCACGCAGCCCCAGCTCATGGGCCCCGCGGTGAGAACCTGCCAGGCCAGGGTCACGACCAGCCGGCGCGGGTCCACTTGCTTCGCCAGCTCCTCCGCGCGCCTCACAAAGTCTGGGATGGAGGCTTCGAACTCTGCCAGCAACGCGTCTCCTCGGGTGTCGAGCGCCTCCTGCAGAAGCTCCACACGCATCCGCACCAGCCGCCGGGAGGTCTGGAGCAGCGAGCGCACCTCCCGGAGCTGCCGCTGTATTTGCCGCGCCTGCCGCTGCAGCTCCTGCCACTCCTTGAACTGCTGCAACTGCTGGAAATGCTCCTGCTGCATTTGGTGCAGCTGCTTGAACCGACGCATCAGCTGCACCTCCTGGAGCTGATACTTCTTCTGCAGCTCCTGCAGCAGCTGCTGCTGCTGCTGCACATCCAGGAGCTGCTCCTGCTGCTGCAGCTGCTGCACAAGCTCCTGTTGCCGCTGCACCTGCTGGAGCTGCTCCTGCACCTGCTGCATGTGCTGGAATTGCTGCTGCCAGAGCTTCTCCATCCACTGCTGCTGCTGCTGCTGCGACAGCAGGAGATGTTGCTGCACCGCCGGGAGCTGCTCCTGCAACTGCTGAAGCTGCTGCTGCAGCTGCTGCTGCAGCCCCTGCTGCAGCAGAGGCTGCTGCTGCTGCTCCGTCTGCTGCGTCAGGTGAGCCACGTAGCCGGAGATGAGATCGCCGGTTACGATGGTCAGCAACTGCATCGCTTCATCCTCCTCCTCCTCCTCCTCGCCGCAGCCACCGACCCTCGCCTGAATCTCCCCCGCAGAATGCGACGCGGCTTGGGCAGAGGCCGCAGGCTGCATGGCGGTGTAGGCCTCAGTGGCGGGAATTGACGTCGTTGTTGCTGATTCCGCTGCTGCTGTGGGAGGGTCGTTGATGTCGCGAGGCAATTGAGGAGGTGGAGGAGGTAGAGGAGGAGGTAGAGGAGGAGGTAGAGGGGGAGGTAGAAGAGGAGGTAGAGGAGGTGACGACTTCGCGACTCGATGGAAGCTGTTGGCTTCTACCTCCATTGCGATTTGGTTAACGGTGATGTCGTCGGATCGATCCGTGGATCGATTCCTCCATGCGATTACGTTAGAATCGACTTCGATTGCAAGCCGTCGGTCGATTCTGACCTCGATTCACGATCCTCACCGGGGGGGGGGGTCACAGAGACCCATAGACTACAGTAGAGATAAATAATAATAAATAATGTAAATAATAATAGAAATAAAATAATAAATCACGACGTACAGTTTTTTTTTTTCTGTGCCTTTTTACACCTGATGAAGGAAGTTTGTGTTGCCTCCGAAACGTCGTGATTTATTATTTTATTTATATTATTTATATTTTGTATTTTTACCTACGTGACTTTACCGATAAAACCTACTCCTGGCAGTCACGAAAGCTTCAAATGTAGAATTACTGATAGAGACCCATCGACTCTCTAAGCTGTCTTGTGGTTGTTGTTGTTGTTTGACTTGCATCCCACTGGGATGTTTGCACACAGCGTTGGTGTACACGGTGACTTTTGTCTGCAATATTTTGCTGTGTTTTCTTGGATTTTCTGTTTGCACTCAGTCACATAGTCACTTTAAGATGTTTTTTGTTCATGTTTTTGTTTTTTGTTTGTTTTTTCATTTTGCACGTAGTCACTTTAAGATGTTTTTTGTTCATGTTTTAGTTTTTTGTTTGTTTTTTCATTTTGCACGTAGTCACTTTAAGATGTTTTTTTGTTCATGTTTTTTTGTTTTTTCAGTTTGCACCCGATTCAAGAACCGAATGGCTCACAGGGCTCTACCTAGTACATGAACTTGAACTTGACTCACGCACAGAGACCCATAGACGACACCACGCAGACAGCCAATGACACCTGGGGGCTCTGCCCACGTGGTGCGTAAGCCCTGCCCCCTCCTGACACGTGACCCGCGCTGGGCGTGGCCAGACGCTGTCACGTGGAAGCTGCAGTGGTGCCACGTGTCTCTGTGCTGCTGCTGCTGCTACTTGAAGCCGGTACGGTTATAACAGCAATTGATTAACAGATCACTTGCCTTGACGGCTTAGCGGATCAATTTAGACTTAAAACTTTCGTGACTGCAGGAATTCATATTCTTGGTTCTTTTGGTAAAATCGCGTCGATGGAAAATAAAAAATAAGAAAAAAAATGGAAAATAATAAAAGCAAAACCCGCCATTTTTTCAATATTTTATTATATTTTTTTCTATTTACGTGACTTTATAACAGAAAGAACCAATAATATATCGAGGGTTAGCCGATTTCATTCGTTAATCGATTTGTTGTCTGCTGGGATTTTTGCACACAGAGTTGGTGTAACTGTGATTTTTTTCCTGCAATATTTTGCTGTTTTTCTTGGATTTTCTGTTTGCACTCAGTCACATATTCACTTTAAGATGTTTTTGTTTGTTGCGGTTGTACCCGATTCAAGAGCCGAATGGCTCACAGGGCTATACCTAATACTTGAACTTGAAGTAGCGGTGACGTCACCACGACGCTTGTGCACACACCACACACACAGTCACACACACACACAGTCACACACACAGACACACACCACACACACAGTCACACACACAGTCACACACACACAGTCACACACACAGACACACACCACACACACAGTCACACACACACACAGTCACACACACAGACACACACCACACACACAGTCACACACACAGTCACACACACACACAGTCACACACACAGACACACACACAGACACACACCACACACAGTCACACACACAGACACACACCACACACACGGACACACAACAGTCACACACACAGTCACACACCACACACACAGTCACACACACACACAGTCACACACACCACACACACAGACACACACAGACACACACACAGACACACACACAGACACACACAGACACACACACACAGTCTCACACACACACACAGACACACACCACACACACAGTCACACACCACAGACACACACACAGTCACACACACAGACACACACAACAACAACAACCGCCATTTGCCACATTTTATGTTCGCACTTAGTCACAAAGTCACTTTAAGATGTTTTCTTGTTCATGTGTTTGTTTTTGTTTGTTGCGGTTGCACCCGATTCAAGAGCCGAATGGCTCACAGGGCTCTGTACCTAATACATGAACTTGAACTTGCAGTAGTGCAGCTCAACAGGGGGCGGATTCAGCAAGTTGCAGCATCCTCTTTCGAAGGTGCAGCGACGTCTCTCCAGCAGCAGCAGTAGCAGCATCATCAGCAGCTGCAGTACACGTGCACAATTCATTCCAAGGTGTGGGTGTGTGTGGTGTGTGTGGTGTGTGTGTGGTGTGTGTGACTGTGTGTGACTGTGTGTGGTGTGTGTGGTGTGTGACTGTGTGTGGTGTGTGTGGTGTGTGTGACTGTGTGTGACTGTGTGTGGTGTGTGTGGTGTGTGACTGTGTGTGGTGTGTGTGGTGTGTGACTGTATGTGGTGTGTGTGGTGTGTGACTGTATGTGGTGTGTGTGACTGTGTGTGGTGTGTCTGTGGTGTGTGTGGTGTGTGACTGTATGTGGTGTGTGTGGTGTGTGACTGTGTGTGGTGTGTGTGACTGTGTGTGACTGTGTGTGGTGTGTGTGGTGTGTGACTGTGTGTGGTGTGTGTGACTGTGTGTGACTGTGTGGTGTGTGTGTGGGGTGTGTGACTGTGTGTGGTGTGTGTGACTGTGTTTGTGTGACTGTGTGTGGTGTGTGTGTGATGTGTGACTGTGTGTGTTGTGTGACTGTGTTTGTGTGACTGTGTGTGGTGTGTGACTGTGTGTGGTGTGTGACTGTGTGTGGTGTGTGACTGTGTGTGGTGTGTGACTGTGTTTGTGTGACTGTGTGTGGTGTGTGACTGTGTGTGGGGTGTGTGTGGTGTGACTGTGTGTGTGACTGTGTGTGACTGTGTGTGTTGTGTGACTGTGTTTGTGTGACTGTGTGTGTGGTGTGTGCACAAGCATCGTGGTGACCCACCCCCCCGTGTGCCACAGTGCCGGCCTTGATAAGTGCTGCTACTCGCTAACAGCACTTGCCCCCGACAGTCTGTTAGAGGCTATACGGGGGATCTTTGTCTTTGGCAGTGGCGGTGCACAAGGTGCGTGCAGGAGGTGCGTGCAGGAGGTGCGTGCAGGAGGTGCGTGCAGGAGGTGCGTGCAGGAGGTGCTTGCAGGAGGCCGAACGGCGCCCGGAGGAGATGCGTCCCACGAAGAGCTTCCATGAAGAAGTGCGGGAGCGAGGCGAGAGAGGGATGGGACCAAGGAATTGTGCGCGGGAGGTCGGAGGGAGGGCAGCGAAGGGGGGGGGGGGCAGGTGAAGGTCAGCGAGGGGCAGGAGCTCGGCCTGAGGGGCACGGAACCGGGGCGGAGTCGGGGAGCGGGAGGGGAAGAGGGGAGAGAGAGACGGCGCAGCAAGAGTCGAGGGCCAGAGACGCGGCGAGCGAGAGACGCAGAGACGAGGCGGCGAGGGGAGTACAGCAAGAGAGAGAGAGAGACAACCATCAGAGGAATTTCATTCAACGGTTCTTGAGGCAGAGGTTAGGGGGGTCCGGTTCAGAAGGAGCGAGAGAGACGGGGCGAGAAGAGGGGAGGGGCAGAGACGTCGCGAGAGATCGGCAAAGAGAAGTGGAGGCAAGGGGACGACAGGAAGAGAGAGAGAGACATCAGAGGGCGCCGAACCTTCGTCGATTTATAAGCGAGAGGTTAGGGCGATTCAGTTGGGAAGGAGGGAGAGAGACGGGGAGGCAGGGAGGGAGAGAGACGGGGGCCCAGGGAGGGAGGGAGATGGGGGGGCAGAGAGAGGAGAGATGGGGGGACAGAGAGGGGAGAGATGGGGGGGCAGAGAGGGAGAGGGGGCAGGGAGGGAGAGAGACGGGGGGGCAGAGAGGGGGAGAGAGAGGGGGCAGGGAGGAGAGAGACGGGGGGGCAGAGAGGGGGAGAGATGGGGGGGCAGAGAGGGGGAGAGATGGGGAGGGGGGGGGGCAG